GAGAGAGAGAGAGAGAGAGTCAGACAGACAGACAGGGAGAGATATCTATCTGTGTCTGTCTGTCCCCAACTGTCTGTTTCTCTCTCATTCTCCCACTCCGAAGATAGAGCCCTCTGTCGTCTCTCCGAACACCGGGCACGAGAAGCAAACAGTCTAGAAGGAAGTCAGAAAAAATGATAAAGAGGAACCCCTCTGCTTGGGGTTTGAACCCCCAGCTTTCGCGCAGCACAATATCAAATCCCTGACCTACTGAGCCACAGCAGTCGTCAATCATGTTGTGTGCACCGTCTGACCTGATAACGAGTAAACATAGACGAACACACAAACTGACACGTCAGATAAAATTACACAGCTTTCACAGACTCTTTAATGTTGAATTCAACGTTTCCCCTGCTTTCATTCGACACCTCACGCACAATATCTTCTCACAGGTTCTTTTCAGAGTCAGCGTCTGTATGTTGGCTTTCTTGCTCGGCATTCCAATGATAACTCAAGGTGGTTTTCATCTCCTTAACCTTGTGGATGAGGCTGTTCTCGGATTTCCCTTGCTCTTTATTGGCCTGTTGGAGTATGTAGCCATTATTCATTTCTACGGTAAGCAGCGTTTTTATCATGCTCTTTTGACGTGACTAAAACAAAGTTGGAACTTAGTTTTCCAGTCTAGTGGCCCACTCGCCTTCTCTTGTGCCCAGTTTAGTGTTGCTCATTCAAAAGTAAAATGTCTTGGTCTCTTCCAGATTTATTTTATCGTAAAAATTATAGCCACTAATTGTTTCCTAGATTTGTTTAAGCCGAGAGAGTAGACCGAGACAATGTGATTGCTACAAAGATTGCTCTTAAATAAAGTTTTCTGTCTTTTAGGATGAGTTCTGTGACAAAGAAAGTATTTCTGTCATAGCTTGGAGGATTCGGGGCGCTCATCATGTTTTTAGACATACAAATAGTTATGGCAGTTGTTGGCATTATCTTGAAGCATGTTCATTTGCCTTGTTTTTGGTGAAAAATAATCATCTATCTTCAACAGAAAGCGAGCGAGACACTAATTATAATTCAAGGAGGTTAGGGGTGGGTGGGGGTGGTGCCAAATGCGTAAGGTAAAATTAGCGAGAGAATGGCCGCCAAAGTTTGGTGATTTCCAAGACTGTAGTGTCTTTGATTAACGGTTTTTGTTGTTTTAAAAGCTATGCAGGAATATGACCGTGTTTAAACGGGCGTAAAGGGTATTGAGCCGAAACGTATTACGAAAATCGATAAAAAATTTCATAAGGTAGAAAAATGTCGGTTTCTTCGATTTCATTATTTTGACGGGCGCCTGAGTTCACCATGATGCCACACGTGTTATTCATAGGATGAGTCGCCACACCAGGGTACTTCAAATAAGGGACATCTCTTTTTTTCGCTAGAGATATAATGAAGGTTTTACCACCGTACATAAAAATTATGTTTCAGGACTTACAGAATTACATGTAAAACTGGTTATGTGGAATCGCACTGGAAATTGCAACTTCAAAAACTTATTGGATTCGTTATGAAGCAAATGGGAGTATGTAGGTTCACTCTAAACAAAACTACCGACGCCACAATAACACACCAGATTCCTTAACTCTGAGCCTCAATGCAGAGGATACGTCTTGCTTGAACTTTGCGTAAATGTCTCATTAACAGTAGCAAATGTAAAGTGTGCTGACAAAATGAGTTACTTTTTGGATTTGAACATTATGGAAATAAATACATCACGCTTATAGGTGAAGTTTTTACTATTTATACGTATGAAATAATAAAAGGCATGTTATACTTAAAGAATATATATGGCATCGATAGAAAGTCTACAAATTTGACCCTAGTTTGATTTTTGGCCAATATCTCCATTTGTGGATTGCGAGAAGTAACTCATTTTGTCGGCACGTCTCACAAATACTTAACTATCATAACTTCTTATATCCTTTCTTTTGAACAGGGTATGAGAACTTCGCTTTGGACGTAAAGTCGATGTTAGGATTCAGCCCGTTCATCTATTTCCGAGCCACATGGACGGTCATTTCCCCAGTTCTGCTGACGGTGAGTTGTTGAAGAGAGAAGCCTGAAACGGAGAAGATGTGGATACTCGAAGTTGAGGATTGGGTTGTTGGCGGGTGTTCTGGTGTCGTTTGCTCCTTCTTTGCTATCAAATATCTATCATCTTTATCTACCGCCCCCTTCTTTTTGTGTTTATTACTCTCTTGTACCACCTCTAATATTCATCATTTATATGGCCTAACTGTGTTGCAAGCGCAGTAAAACTCTTACTATAACAATACAACAAAACAAATTCAGGGAGTCAAAGACCGCTATTTACAGACCTGGCAGCTGTAGTTGGACTCCAGGACCGCATTATTAACGAAGGGTGAGCTGAACGAAACTATTGTAAATATTGGCTTCTTGTAGCACTTTCTGTCAGCATCAACTATGGCTGAGTAGGACTTCGCATCACAGCTGCAGGAAGACGGAGATATTTGACAAGTTGGCTAGTTTTCACACGCAAGAATTGAACTCAAGTCTTTTACATGCAACCTTACTACCCGTTACGCCATCTGGCGTTTAGGGCAGCAAAATGCGGTGTTCAGGTCCCCCATCTTCCTGCAAACAGCTTCCTTGCGGCTTTCACTGCCTGCATTCATATGAGTCTCAAGAGTCTCTAAAGGTTCATAACACACAGAAATATGGCTTCTCCTTGTTGCTTTTTCCGTAACATGATTTTTACCAGTCTGGGTTGTTCGCCCTGAGCTGAGCCTCCGAAACCTGGAGGGCCGATGGATCACGCTTCGTCTGACCTCTACCCGTCGACCTGCCTGGCACGGGTGGCCCTACCAGGAGCATTAGCTCCAGGCAGCGTAGCTCTTGAGTTCACTGAGGCACACAAGCTCTCTAACCACTACAAGGTAGTGATCCATTAGAGAGTTTTACTTGCAAGACGAAGAGTTAGTCATTACCCCCACAGACGCAGGTCACAACGCTCTTTTCAACATACACTTGCTATAATTTAAAAGGAGACACCATGATTTATGTCCGCCTGTAATATGGTTAAGACCTGGTGTAAACGATGACTGTGGGAACTCCTTAGAAATGACTGAGTAGGATTCTTGCAACGACCGACCACCGGACCTCCAGATGCTCGGTTAAGAGCCCAGTACTCCATGAAATAATCTCCAAGTTACTTTGTAGAATAGTTGTGAGGAAAGCCATTATCACATTTATTGAATCCAGTCGTTGTTTGCAAGTTTGATGTTTCAAATTGTGCGAACAGCTCTTCAATACTATTGGAAGCCTTTATACGA